TTCTTTGGCATTACCTTTCTTTGGGATTGGAGTGAAAACTGACCTTTTCTAGTCCAGGATAAAAACCCACAGGACATTATTATTCTGTATTAAACAAATAATTCTCTTAAAATTTACATAATTATCCTTGCCTGTAATTTTTTTCTCCTCCTGAGGATTTAGGATCATTTTCCTCAAGCAGGATTGCAGGAAGTGAATTATCAGGGTTTTTTTTTTGTCTGAAAACATCTTATTTCAGCTTGATTCTTGAAAGCTTTTTCTCTACATATAGAACTTGGTTAGCTTTTTTTTTTCCTTTAGTAACTTTAAGATGTCATTCTATGATCTTCTGGATTTCATGGTTCTGTTGAAGAGTCAGGATTCAGACTTAGTGTTGCTTTTTAAAATTTACTGTCTTTTCCCTCTGGTTCCTAACATGTTATCTGTCTTTTGTTTTCACATTTTTATTATGATTTGCTCCAGATACCCTCCTCTACTAGCAGAGATTTGACCTTTATTCTATGAGACAGAACCAACCTCTCTAACAGGTAGAAGGATAAGAGGCTGAGTATCTCAATCCAATGAGGGACTGAGTCATATGTATCCAGGCCGTGTTGTGAAGTCTTAGTAAGATGCGGCTCACATCTGCCTCACTCCTAATCCCTGAATATTGTCATATGGGTTTGAGGTCCTAGTGGTCTCTGTCTCCTTATCCTTGAAAGACTGTCAAAGATTCATTTCTGCTCTTTTGGTGGACATTTAGTTTACACTAATTCACAAAAGTAATAGTGTTTTTTTTTTAAAGAAAAATAAATAACTTCATTTTCTTATCACTTGTCATTGAAAATGCTAGCAGCAGAAGAGGTTTTAGTTTTTTCTTAACCTGCATTTTCATTTCTTCAAAAATTTACTGTTGAGTGACATCACTCTGTTGAATCTCTGAACAGTTAGGCCTCAGAACTAGTGGTCTACTCACAAGTGGATGTACCCATGTGATAACACTTCAGTATGCTTATCCTTCTTTCACCGCCTTTGAAACAACTTGAAAATATTAAACTCCAATGTAAGAGTCAACTCCAATTTAAGATTCATCTTTCAGAAACTAGTATGTGTTGCAGAGCAATTAATAGCTTTCTGTTTTTCATATTAACTATGCAACTTGAGAGAACAATTATTTTATGTGCAACTTATCTTATGGAAAGTATACTTAATTGTGACTATATGAGTTGAGGGGCTTCTCTGGTGGCTCAGTGATAAAGAATCCACCGGCACTGCAGGGGACTAAGGAGACTTGAGTTTGATCCCTGGGTCAGGAAGATCCCTTGGCGGAGGAAATGGCAACCCATTTCAGCCTTCTTGCTGGGAAAATCCTATGGGCAGAGGAGCCTGAGAAGCCACAGTCCACAGAATCACAAAGAGTCAAGACACAACTAAGCAAGTATATCATCAGGTAATGATGAGTTGATAAATGAATAAAATTAATAGTAATTATTGAGAAATTATTCACTGCTTTGTGTGTGTGAGGGGGAGATACAAAAAATGTATATATTTTTCTTCCCTCAAGGTTTTCCAGTCTGATTTGATGATTAGATTATGAAAAGTACAAATTTTTAGGATAATTGACTCAGTAAATCACATGAATTTCAAAAGGTAGTACAACCCAGAACACTTCTACACAATCCTGCCAGGTTGACATTGCTATAGATAAATTCCAGTTTATCTACAGAACAGCTACTTATAGGATAGGGGACAAACTTTAGAAACAGCTTTGATCTTAGCTCATAATTAATTTACTGCTAAATATTTTCACTGTTTACAGTTTGTGAGATGCTGAATTCAGGCAAAGTTTGGCAAATAAAGTGATATACTGGTATCATCTAGTGGAAAAAAACCTTGGTAAGATCATTTTACCAGAAGACTAAGATGACTGAACAGTAGCATGTAATCCAAAGTTTGTTCTATATATTTTAGTACATTTGAGTAGCTGTAAAATTCTTACTTCATCAAATACTGTTCTGAAGTAACTGGGCTCACACTTATTGGTACTTATAATCAAAGGATTTGCTGGAACCAAGTTATTTATCTTTTAATATTAATTATAATCTCTTAAGCACCTAAAAGTTGTTAATATTAAAATATTCCTCATATTATGATCACATTGGAGAAGGAATTAGCAACCCACTCCAGTATTTTTGCCTGGGAAATTCCAAGGATAGAAGAGCCTGGCAGGCTACATTCCATGGGGTCTTAAAAGAATTGGACACAACTTAGTGACTACACACACACACACACACAGGAGAAGGAAATGACAACCCACTCCAGTATTCTTGCTTGGAAAATCCCCTGGACAGAGAAGCCTGGCTACCGTCCATAGCATCGCAAAGAGTAGGACACAACTGAAGTGACTTAACATAGCATGATCACATACGAACAGAATTATAGAGGTTGTCCCCCAAATGTCACTTTACTGTCAACTAAGTGTCTAGAAATGTGAAATGTAAATGTACCATTCAAAAATCACAGCCCTTGTTGGACTGTAATTTATACATTTTAAAAAATAAAAAACATAAACACTTTCCTCTTTAGCATCTTTTAGAAAGATGCCAGTATTCTAAAAAAAAATAAATCTGGAAAATTAGTTTTGGAATATACAAAATTGATGTTTCTGAAAAGAAATGGCTTTAAAGTTGACCACCTTTTCTTTGGACATACAATCTTACTTTCCCATTTAGAACCATTGCAGGATTAGAAGCAAAACGAGAAACATCTTTAGTACTATCTCTTCATAGGAAATTTCAGTTTTCTGATAAAGTCACAATAGTATGAATATACTAAGTAATTCATAATAGTGAACTGGCCTTTTGTATACTTAATCCATTCTTTCTGAACAACATTTGGGATTAAGATTTTTGTGTGTGTGATCCAACTCATCATCTGACGCACTTGCTCAGTTGCTTAGTCGGATCCGGCTCTTTGTGACTCTATGCACTGTGTCCCGCCAGGGTCCTCTGTCCATACCAGATTCTCTATATAGTTTCTATTTAAAAAAAAAAAAACAAAACTGTTCTATAACCAACCACTGTCTAGATCTCACTTAAACCTTATTTCATTTGACTTCATTGTGCATCTCAATGTTACTTTTAGATCAGGAAGTACAGCAGAGTGAAGACTTACATGGAGCATAAAAGTAGACTAAATATAGAAATGTTTTCCTGTTCTTTGCTGTGACGAATAAAGAATGGAAATTGGTGTCAGCAGGGTTGGCTCCTTCTGATGGTTGTAAGGGAAAGATCTATTCCAGACCCTTTTCCTTAGCTTGTAGATGTCCATCCTCTCCCTGCCTTTTCACATCATCTTACCTCCATGCCTGACTCTATGGCCAGACTTAACCTTTCTACTTAAAAGGATACTAGTCATATTAGATTAGGGGTTCACCCAGTTCCAGTATGACCTCATCGTAACTAATTACGTTTGCAATGACCCTATTGTCAAATAAGATAAGTTACAATTGTGCTATAAAAACACACAATCCAAATAAAAAAAATCATATACATTATTCAAATAGCAACAAAAAGATCACTAATGCCTTAGTTTTCAAATTTATTTTTAAACTCAGTGATACTAAGTACACGCATAACACTGTGCAACTAACATCATTTCCATTTTCAAAAACCTAGTTTTTATTAATAAATCTAGATTGATAGCTGCTGGAACTGAGGTTCAACCGAGTAGGATAACTGTATATAAACCAAATAGGAGCACGCAGTCTAACAAATGCCAGCGAACTTACTGAGAAAAAAACAGAATATTTAAAATCTGTTGAAACCAACTGTCACTGTAACATATGCGCCAACAGGAAAAATAACCCTCCAAGCTAAATACGAAACAGAAAAAGCTTAAGATGTCAGTCAACGTCCTCCTACCCCTGGAAGGGCGACTCTTAACAACTGGAAGCAGTAAGTTAAGGTCGCTAGGATGCGCTCGCACCAGAAACTAAAACGAAGGTTCGTAACTTGGGCTTGGAGAACCCTTGAAACGACAGGGCACGCTTAAATGCGGTGGGGGGGGTCCAGAGCGTTCACGGGATCTTCGACAGGAAGGTTTTAAAAACGACCTTATTGCGAGGACAGGACAGGGACCATCGCGGTGATAGCGGGCGGGCCTTAAAGGACGGGGTCGCAAGCTTAGAACCCTCGGCGGAGCGATCCGGTGACGGATGATGGGTGAAGGATGCATGTGAGGTGTGGACCTAGCCCCGGGTTCGTGGCCAGGGAACTAGGCCCGGATGCAGGGGCGGGGCCGGGAAGACACCGCCTACCGGCGTCCCCGTTTACCCCGGAATATGACGCCCAGACAAAGGGAGAGGAAAGAGGGGTCCCGCAGGGACTTCACAGGCGTGGCTATAGCCTCGAGGGCTCGGGAACATCTCCCCCCACCCTTCGCAGGTTCGTGCCACCCGTCTTCCTCTGGTCCTACCCAAGCCTCTGCGACAACCGGCGGGGCTGGCCTTCGGCCGCAGCGCACGCTTCTCAACCTGCCCATTTGTTATTCTCTGGATGGGGCGGCGACCACCGAGCCGGGAGCCTGGGCTGCGGGCCGCGCTGGGGCGGGGGACAAACAGGATCGGGGCCAGCAGGGACGTTACTTCTGCCGCATCAGCGCCGGCAAACCAAGTACCGTGGAGCCGGAAGATCTGCCCTGCGGCTCGCGACTGGGAATTTTTAAATCTGGCTGGGTTTACCCCGCGGGCCAGCCACGCCCCGCGCCGCCTGCCTCAGCCAGTCAGCGCCAGGCCCGCCATTTTTCAAACCCTCTTCTGGCCGCCAATCAGGATCGAGTAGCACATTCCTCTCCTGACCGGTTCTAACGGGTCTGGGAGTTAACGACCCGGGCGACCCACCGAACCTGCTAGGCTGCGGCTGGGGGGACGGACCTGGTGACATACCGACCAATAGAAAGCCGTCTTGGTGAGGGGGCGGGGCCTCCTTGTGTTTGAATAATCCCCAGGGCCAATCGGAGAGGCGGGGGAGTGGCCTGTGACCCGGCTCGTCAAGTTGCCGTGGCGCGGAGAAGTCTGCAAAACAAGAGGCGGAGGATTGCGTTAGCGAGGAACCAGTTCACGCCGGAGCCAGAGCAGCAGCGTCGCGGTGAAACGCGGCCGCTGCGCGGAACTCTGAGGAAAATCTCTCGCCAGGTGGACACGCCGCCTCCGCCGCAGCAGCAGCATCATGGGGAAGGGCGACCCCAACAAGCCGCGGGGCAAGATGTCTTCGTACGCCTTCTTCGTGCAGACCTGCCGCGAGGAGCACAAGAAGAAGCATCCCGACTCCTCAGTCAATTTCGCAGAGTTTTCCAAGAAATGTTCCGAGAGATGGAAGACCATGTCGGCCAAGGAAAAGTCCAAGTTCGAAGACATGGCAAAAAGTGACAAAGCTCGCTACGACAGGGAGATGAAAAATTATGTCCCTCCTAAAGGTGACAAGAAGGGAAAGAAAAAAGATCCCAACGCTCCGAAAAGGCCTCCATCTGCCTTCTTCCTGTTTTGCTCCGAACATCGCCCAAAGATCAAAAGCGAACACCCTGGCTTATCCATTGGGGATACTGCAAAAAAATTGGGTGAAATGTGGTCTGAGCAGTCAGCCAAAGATAAACAGCCGTATGAACAGAAAGCAGCTAAGCTTAAGGAGAAATACGAAAAGGTGTGTTGTCCCTTTTTTTTAAGCCAGTGTGAAATCCAGTAATATTTTCTAAATCAGTATGTTGGAAATAGAAGCTGTAGAAATTTGGGAGCTATACATAGTTCTGTGTTAATGGTTTTCAGCTTTGTTTTGAAAAGGTCTAGTGAGAATTGTACACTTAGGCAACACAAGCTAATTGAAACTTTTCTTTTGACTGAAACCAATGTCTGTAGCATTGGTAGGTTGGTGCATTCAGACTCATTTGTAGTAAAATAGGTCTCTTAGTTAAGAAGACTGGAGGGCCAAATGTTTTATGTAGGTGTATCTAAGATGTGAAGTTAGGGGGTGAGCTATGAGATTAACAGATAATGGTAGTGAAAGTACTGACATCAGTCTAATACACCCCAGTTATTTTACGTCATTATCTTTCTAAGACCTTGGGGGATCAAATGCTCTCAGAACCCGAGTTTAAGACTGTCATTGGGGTTATTGGCCAATAATCGCAGATTGTTTACAATTTAGTGGTTTTCACGGTTGGGTAATGACACCGGATGCTGATTTTATTTTTTTTAACTATTTCAGGATATTGCTGCATACCGTGCCAAGGGCAAGAGTGAAGCGGGAAAAAAGGGCCCTGGCAGGCCGACAGGCTCCAAGAAGAAGAATGAACCAGAAGATGAGGAGGAAGAGGAGGAGGAAGAAGATGAAGATGAGGAAGAGGAAGAGGAAGATGAGGAATAAATGGCTATCTTGTAATGATGTGTGTGGAGTATGCGTGTGTGCTCAGGCAATTGTTTTGCTAAGAATGTGAATTCAAGTGCAGCTCAATATTAGCTTCAGTATAAAAATTGTACAGATTTTTGTATAGCTGATAAGATTCTTTGTAGAGAAAATACTTTTTTAAAAATGCAAGTTGTGGCTTTTTGAGGGGCTACTACATACAGTTAGATTTTCAAGCTTCTGATGTTAAATGTTTCTAAATATTTAATGGTTTCTTTAATTTCTTGACTTGTGTATGGTAGCACAGCAAACTCATAGAAATTAGCATCAATAGCAAATTTTGGGTTTTCTAGAACGAGAATGTTGCATTTTCTTTTTTTAAAAAAATTTTGTAATAAAATTATATATATTATTTCTATTGTCGTTGTCTTATATGCTAAATTAGCTTTTACTTTCATGGTCTGGAGCCATATCACTTTTTGTCTTTCTGCCTAATAGTTCTTTGACATGGTTGATGTAGTAGAATGTTTTGTTAAAAGTCAAACATGCCCATATTCATATTTACACAGCATTCTTTAAAAATCAATTCTGGAATTTAATGAACTTTAAAAATTTATACACTGAGCAAGTTTTGTTCTTGACATTTATGTTCATTTGTTAGCTAACTTGTCCCTTGGGCCTTATCTTTTTAGTTGACATTTTAAGATTTCAAAAATCAGTGTGGTCTTAACCCTAGAAATCTGGGTAACTAACCCAAGAAAGCTTTTGAGATGATTATTGTGATTTTCCATAACTAACGAGATGAAATTCCACTAGGATTTCTATTTACAGGTGAAAGCAGTTATTAAGAAATGCTCATTTGAGAAGGCAGTTGCTTGTATTTGAATTAGGTAACTATTTCAAATCGTTACCAAGTTAGTGAAAGTTGGCCAAGTGTTGGCTGGAAGAGTATAGAAGAAACCTATTGGTTGGTAGTTTGACAGTTAAACCTGACAATCTTGGTTACCTATTCTAGTTTTTACAATAGAAACCAAAATTCTTAATACCCAACCATGGGAGCCTTGGTTGTCTATCTTACACCATATTCAGAGTAAAATATTTTAGGATTTCTTTCTTACACAACATTGTTAAATGGGAGGTGTAAGTTACAGCATTAATCCCAGAGCAGATGGACTCAGGTAAAATCTCCAAACTTATTAGTGATGGCCATCCATTTGCATATTACAGTTGTTATTTGGGGGCCTTTTCTGATCCTAAAAACTACTTTTACGTGTCTAAAAACTATTTCCTGATGTTAGGTGACTTAACACTAAAATATTGTGGGATAATGTTTTTCCCCAGCTCTACCAAATCCTGCGTGGACTTTGCCTGTGGGTTTATTTCTCTCCATTTGCGTATGGGGTCAATATCTACTTTGAAGTGTTCTGATGATTAAGAATGTATTTACAAGTAGTTTACAATAGTCCTTAATGCTTAGAAAAGATACTAGTTTCTAAAATTGAAATACAGTGAAAGTCTGTTTCTTAAGGATTTTTTTAAAAATTAGATCCATGAAGCAGACCTATCAGGTTCCTTGTCACTTTTTGAGATTTTTTGGGACTAGTTTCATTTTTTTCTTTAAATGAAATAAATTTTAAATGTGTAAGCTAAGAATGACACATTTTTTAAAAAATGAGCTGCTGTGTCATCTCAGCATTTGCAATGAGTCCTCATTTGATATTTTAAGTGTTGATCAAAATTTGCAACACCCTTGTTTTTAAGACTAAATGACTTCAAGGAGTGGTTATGTTGGAAAGCATTAAAACATGGGTAAGAATCAGGTTCTATTCCAGACGAGTCAGTACTTGGGGGGGGGGGGTGCTTATGAAGATCACACCCCCGTTTTTTTTTTAAAAACAAGTCATTTCGTTATGTAAATGGGCTATATAGTGGGTAGTTTACAATCTTGATTTCCAACTACCAGCTTCTCCCAAGAGGCAACTCCAGGAGTACAATGATACATCCTTCAAGAGAGACAGAAGCACAATAGTCATGTGATTTCATATTTGTTAATATTACACAAAGGAAGCTTACTATATATGTTGTCCTGCCCCTTAATTCTCATTTTAGGTTCTTGGCTCAACAGAATTGCCACATTCCACTTAAATAGCCATCTGCATAGTACCCCACTGAATAGATCATAATTTAACCAGTTCCCTAAAGATAGTTATGTTTGAATTTTTTTAAGAACATTGCCATGAATATCTTATAGTTACAATTTCAGAAATTTCTATAAAAAGCATTTAAAAGTTTGCACATTAAAAAATGTGCTAATTATAATAGCTAAAACCTGTACTTGGTATACGCTGGAACCTGCTCTCTGGCTGTTAACTTGCTGAAACTTGCCAAAATTGCTCTCAGAAGTTGTGCTGTAACATACTCCGCAGCAATGACTACTGTTTCAGAGGGCCTGTTTCCTCAGCAACGTTATCAGTCTCAAACTTCTTAATCTTTGCTATCCTGATATATGAAAAATGGTTCCTCCTATTATGGATTTAGCATATTTTTATGTTAAAGAGCCATTTGTATTTCCCATGGCCTTCTGTCTCATTGGTCTTTTTTTAGTCATTTGTGGGAAATAAGGAAGATGACCTTTTGTGACATGCATTGTAAATATAGGTATTTTTTCTTTGTTGTCTTTTGACTTTATGATGCTTGTTTTCATACAAAGATTTATTTTTATGAGGCAAATTTATCCTTTAGTGGCCTTGGGAGACCTTTCCCAAAGTTATCTTTGCTTTTGTCTTATTTAATTAAATCTTTGATCCTTCTGGAATTTATTTTGGTACAAGAACTGAAGTAGGGTCTCAACTTTCTTTCCAGACGGTAGCCACTACTTTTGGTCTTCTAATCTATAAAAGCTGGGTTAGAAGATCCTAAGGTGCCCTACGTATCAAAGCAGTAACTTGCAAACTTGCTCAATGGAAGACAGTAAGCATTTTTGTATTCTGGTTTTCAGCAGAAATCATTTACTGTAAGTGGTAAACCATGTTTGTCTTAGCACAAACAGCACTATCTTAAAGCTAACTTCATTACATGCCACTAAAAAGGTTGACAAAGCAGTAATGACTATTTCTTGGGGAATAGCAAGAAGAAAGCTAAAGGACCTGTTTTGCCAATGCATAAGATATAGGCCTTTTAAAAATAAAAAAACATCTGTAGAAATAAGCCATCTGTGTACACGTCATGCCAGAAAGAGCAGGTGATCTATAAACATTTGTAAGCATAAATGCCCAGGGTAAAGGTGACAGCTACTGTTCAGCTCAGTCCTGTTGCCTAATGGAAATGTGAGTCTAAGATCCCAAATCTCCCAAAATTTTAAGTGGAACCAGAATTCTAGATACTTTAAAAAATGTGAAGTCTGAATTGTAAACATTGGCGGTAAATTCAAATGTTGAATTCAAAGAAAACATGTCTGTAGGTAAGATTCTGTCAAGGGTCACGGATTGGTTACTTCTATAAATTAGTGTATGCAAATGTAATGATATTTATTTGAGTTAGGGCTGTTGGTAAAAGTTTATGTATAGGCCTCCCAGCTAAGCATTATTTTCCCAGTTGTCTAGAAACCCTTGCCCTGTATGGAAACTCATCTAACTCCTTATCTTGTACAGTCTCTGAAATCTAAAAGGAATGTCTCTGGGCTCTTGGGCCTTTGTTCTTCAGGATTTGGCCCAACCCTCTCTTACCCTCATCTTGGGAGTCACCATAGCTAATAGAATACTGGCTCAGGAGCACAGTGTTTCACATTAAAATGAAACAACTTTTAAGCAAAACTGCAATTCAGTCATATTCATGTGTTATTCTTCAATTCTCTATATTTCTGCAGTAAAGCTGAGACAGCTTATACAGAGAAAAAACTAAAATACAAACAGAAAAAAGTTATGAAAAATTAAGAGTGAGCTGATTTCAAAAAAGTGAGCTGATGAGCTTATATTGAGAATCAGATCAGTTTGAATAGGGCTCAGTTTCTCTTTTCAAGTGAATTATTTTTTTAATTAAATTTTTTTTTTCTACTTTTTGCCTATGCCATGCAGCATGTGGGATCTTAGTTCCCCAACTAGGCATCAAACCTAATCCTCCTGCAGTAGAAGCATGGAATCTTAACCACTGGGAGGTCCCAAGGATCTTTCTGCTGATCAGTTTGGTGACATCAGACCTGGCGTGTAAACTTTCAGTTTCCTCAGGTGTTAAAATCAGATTTTTCTTTTTCTGAACATTAAATGAGGCAATACATCCAAGACACTTCTCTTGGTGGTAAAAAAAAATATTAGCTAAAAGTATGCATGATAACATGTATATATATTAATAATATAGTTGTCATAATAAGCCTACCAGATTCATTTCTGAGATTCTTAACTCTAAGTGGAGAGGAAAACTAGTTATGTGGAAAATACAATAGAAATTCCTTCCACAGAGCTCTGGGGATACTCAATACTGGAGCTGTGTCCTTGACTTCAATACTAAATTTGGGAATTTGGACAAGTTATTTAACTTTTTTTAAGTATAGTTGATTTACAATATTGTATTAAGTTTTAGGTATACAGCATAGTGAATTCAGTTATTTTGCAGATCAAATTCCATTATAGGTTGTTACAAGATATTGGGTATGATTCCCTGTGCTATATGGTAAATTCTTGTTGCTTATCAATTTTTAGTTTGTTAATCCCATACCCCTAATTTGTCATTTACCTCTTCGCTTTACCCTCTGGTAACCATAAATTAACCACTTAATCCCATATTATTTATCCACATATTTTGATCGCATATTCATGTGTGACTTACTGTAGTTTTAGTTGTCTTTAATTTCACAAAACATATTTGTTGAATGGTCTTTTGGGAATTGCCTTTTTCACTCAACACTGCCCTACTGTCGTGTCTATAACCAGTTCATTCATGTTCATTGCCTTCTAACAGTCTATTGCGCGATAATACCACAATTGACCCACTCTCCTGTTGATGGATATTTAGGTTGTTCCTGGAGTTTTTGCTGTTACAAATGACGCTGGTATAAAAATGGCTATACAGTTCTCCTGGCTTTCAAGCACAGCCCCCTCCAGTGATCTTGTCCTGTAAATCCCAGCTGACTCGGGCAGCCTCCTCAGCTGGGTTGTTTCACCAAGGCTTGAGCTCCGCTTTCCTGGATGGTGGTTGGGAAAGTTCTTCAGGCAGATGGACATGCTGAACCGGGGTTCACCCTGTGTGCTTCCTTTCTCTCACGTTATCACAGCCTGCTCTGCCTGTTAGCCAGTTCCTGAAAACAGCTGCTGCATATTTTTTTTGTCCAGTTTTATAGCCGTTTAGGACAACAGCATACTGTTGAGGATGGTAACAATTACTATGCTGTAGCCAGACAGGGAAGTCTATTCATCTCTATTTTTT